TCTTAACAAATTAATTTTGATAATATTCTGAATTATAAAATATCACATATACATAACATACATGTATAGAGACTGTCAATCTACTTAATGCCACTGAAATGTTCACTTTAAAATGGTTTACCTGGCAAATTTTGTTATGTGTATTTTTCTGAAATAAAAATCATTCTCAGTTTCAAAGCTAATCATGAAAGAATATATATTAAATGGATGGAATATATGAAATGTCCAAGAAAGGAAATAAAAGAAAGAAAGTAGATTAGTGGTTGTTTAGGGAGGACTGAGGAGGAAACAATGAGTGACTACAAATGGTCATAAGGTTTCCTTTACAGGATGATACAAATATTCTAACAGTAGAGTGCAGTGATGGTTATACCATCACTGCTTGTAAGTATAATAAAATTGAATGAATTGTCCTCTTAATATGAATGAAGTCTGTGGTATGTAAATTATTTGTCAATAAAGTATTAAAAATGTAGATTTTAGTTATTAGTCCTTTGATGTATAGCTGGCAAATATTTTCTCCCACTGTCTGGGTGATCTCTTCAGTTTAGAGACCATTTCTTTTGTTGTGCAGAAGCTTTTTAATTTTATGACATCCCATTTGTTTATCCTTTCTCTTAGTTGCTGAACTGCTGGGGTTCTGTTGAGGAAGTCCTTGCCTATACCTATTACTTCCAGAGTATTCCCTGCTCTTTCTGTACTAACTTCAGAGTTTCGGGTCTGATATTAAGGTCCTTGATCCATTCTGAGTTGATACTAATAAAGGGTGATAAACATGGATCTAGTTTCAGTTTTTTGCAGAACATCATTCTGAGCGGGTTAGCCAGGCTCAGAAGACCAAAAATCGTATTTTCTCCCTCATATGAGGACTTTAGGTCTAGGGAAAATACAGCAATATTGTTGGACTTGGGTCACATGCTAAGGGGAGAGCACATACAGGAGGTATGGGGATAGGTAGGAAACCCAAAACTTGAAAGTGTTTGATGTCCCCACTGCAGAGGACGCGACAGAGGTCAATATGGGAAGGGGATCAGGAACTAGTGAAAAGGTCAGGTAGAGAAGAATCAATTCGGGTTGTAACACATTTATACATGGAAGCAATGCTAGGAATCTCTGTATAGCTACCCTTATCTCAACTAGCAAAAACGATGTCTTTCTTATTATTGCTTATGTCTTCTCTTCAACAAAATTAGTGATAAGAGCAGAAAAGGTTCTGTCTGGAAGCGAGGTGGTAGGGGGAGAGTGAGGGGGCCGGAGTAGTGGGGAGAAATGGCCCAAACAATGTATGCACATGTGAATAAATGAATAAAAAATTTTTTTTAAATGTAGATTAGTGACTGTCAAACTGACTAGGAAAGTATCACAGTTAGCTCTGTATTGATCACTGTATTTAGTAGAGCGGATAAAATCCTATATGCAGTACAGCTGTTGGCCAGTAAAACTGACAAAAAATACCAAAAAAACAAAAACAAAGGAAGTGAGCTTATCCAGTCTTTAGTATTTATGTGTTATAAACACTATCATTCAGTCAAATGACTCAAGTTTGTTACAAAAATTAAAAGGTTCAAAGACTGTATGGTAAAGGCAGGCTGTGACCAAGTTATGCATCAGCTTTATGCATGTTATCTTTACTCAAGAGCACAGAATGTATTTTGTGAATAAAAGACCTAAATAGAGATTACATGTAATTTGTATAACTCTTAGCAGAACTATTTGTCCCCTATTACAGTGACTGATTTTCTTTTCCATATGGCATAATGTATGGATGAGGCTTTTGTTTCTAACATTTATGTTTCCTTCTTTTTAAAATCAGGTACAAAAACATGGAATCAAATAAAACAGTGAACTGTAAGTTCTATCTCCTAAAACAAAATCATATTCATATTGTAAGACAAAGAATAGTCCCTTCCTTCTGAATATTCCTCTTATTTACCAAATATTAAACTAAAAAAAGGAAAGGTTAAAAATAATTTCAAACTTAAGGGTGGTGGCATGACTAGGCCTAAAAATTGACTATGATATCACAGTTGTTTCAATGGTAGATTTAAGAACAGATAAATGAAAACCCTAATTTCACATATTATGTTGCTATGGAATTCCGGACCACCAGAGCTAAGGGTTATTTGGGGAGCTCAACCTAACTCATTAGCGAAAATGTCTATGAATTTTGCTGATTAAAAATAGCTCACAAAGAAGATTATTTCTTTTCTTGGAAGCATTTTATAATTGGTTTACATAGCAACTTTATGACATAGGACAGAGTAATCATATTATTTCTATTTTATTTTGTGGCTAAACAGACATGACTTCAATAGAGCTAGATTCTCAATTAAAGATGGCTAGAGCAGGATAGCAAACTATAACCCCTAGGCCAAATCTGTTCTGCTGCCTATTTTTGTAAGTAAAGTTTTATGGGAACACAGCACTTCATACTTAAATAGATGCAACAAAGAACCCTGGGCCACAAAGACTAAAATATTTACTAACTGGCTGTTTATGAAAATGATTTCTGATTGTTACTGGATAATTAAAACCCAGTGGGTTTTCCTGTTTCAGGAATAGGAAATTTGACAAAGAAACATGATAAGAACACAGCGTTAGGGAGAGAATACAGTGTTAGAGAGAAAAAAACAAAACAAGCATTATTTGTATGGCTATGCCATTTGCTATGTGGCCCTGGGAAAGTCACTTCCCCTCTCTTGATCTGTTTCCACACCTGCAAAATAAGGGATTTGGGCTTTATGAATACTAATCATCTTTCCAATTAAACATATAATTTATAGCAATAATGAAGACATAAAAATTCTTAAATTGCATTTTAAGATGATTTTGAGGTGCTTTAAATATCATCATCATCACAACCACCTTAAAATTAAGTACCACCCTAATTTTATAGGTGAGAAAACTGAGGCTTCAGAAGGGTGTGCCTTGCACAAGGTTACTAGGATATGCTTCATGTTTCATTATCAAGTGTAGTGTTGACAACATGGTAAGTACAAAGTCAGGGGCAGTGAACTACAATGCCTACAGGGAAAGGCAGATAATGTAAATGCTGGAAGATTTTGTGGTGAACTGGAAACTGTACGTTCTACTTAAAGGGGGCAGCCTCCACTCAGCTAGAACCTATCGTTGACAGGTGTGTGGATCCAGTACTGCCAGACCTTTGGATTTTATGAGTGGCAGGGTATCATAAATTTTATTTTAAATATTCATTTTATTTTATTATTTTATGGGTTTTTTTGTGTTTGGTTCTGGGGATAGAACCTAAGGAATGTGCACATGACAGGCAAGTGCTCTACCACTGAGCTATACCTCAGCCCCAATATTCTGATTTTTAATGCTGACAACTGATTCAAAAAAAATTTTTTTTGTGGTACTGAGGCTTAAATTCAGGACCTACAACTTGAGCTACTCCACAAGTCTTTTTTGTGATGGGCTTTTTCGAGATAGAGTCTTGTGGACTATTTGCCTAGGATTACAGGCATGAGCCACGGGTGTTCAGCTGATTCAAATGTTTAAAAACAGAGTGGGCTGGATTTGGCTTCTTGGACAACAGTTTGCAAATCTGCACTGAATTACCTTTTCTAAATTAAAAGATTAGTGAAAGAGAATACACTAATACTTCAACTTTGGTATAAATTCTTAATTAACCAAAGTAATAGAAGACAGGAAGAAATCATAACATAACAGTATTACCTTATTTTCCCTTAAATATTCTATTAGAAGTGCTTATTGTAAAATCAAATGATTGAAAAAAATCCTTCTCCTTATTTCAGGTCCTCTGGTAGAGGTATTGAGGAAGAGGCAAAGCATACATAGGTCATCAAAGAAGAAAGATTCTGGATAATATTAAAACCAAAAAATCTGTTTTTAAGTAATTGAGATTGGCTATACTTACATGATGGGAAATCCAAATCATGATTAATTCACACTGAGGCTTTTAAAATAGTGGAGATGGGTAGGAGTTATTGATTATAACTTTTAAAAGACATGACAATTAAGAAAAGAAATTTATGCTGTCAGCTTTTTTTATCTTACAGAAAGCCAGTTAAGAATAATGTACATGCTTTGACAAACAAATTAAGCTATATTTAAAGTAAAGTTCTGACCTAATGGTGGTTACCAAGGGAATGAATAAAATGCTTAATTTTTCTATTCAAAAAGTCATAAGGTTGGCAGTATTTTATTATTTGTCTTTTTAAAGTACACACAGAAGAAAATAGGAGTAAAATGGAGAGGAAAAATAATGAGTGTTTCTTGGGAATATTTTTGACCTTAATGAAACAACTGTACCACTAATTATTCTTCCACAAGGTACAGCAATTTTAAATCGAACAGGCTAATCATTATTTAAAAGTTTAAGTGAAATCATTAATGTGGTACTGGGAATAGAACTTTGGGTGAAGTGAATTAGTTTTACTCATTGGCTTCAATCACAATTTTAAAGATGTCTTTCCACTGAGGGTAGGGAAACTTTCTGGAGACAAAATGAAATTTTAAAGAAGACAAGGTTAAGACAGTAGCCTTAAATTCATGACATAACTAATGTTATGTTATAATGTTATTGTAATATGTTCAAAAAAAGAATCTCCTTCCTCCCCACTTTGTAGGTTACTCTGTCTTCTGCCTTCAAATCATAAGCTCTCACATATACCTATAGCTTGGAAATACTTTAAGTCATAGCTTCAGGTTTTATAAAAAGAAAAAATTGTCTACCTACAATCATATTTACTTAAGCACTTCAGTTTCATTGCATTTATTTAAAATGATGGAAACTCATATTAAGTGATAGAAACTCATATTAAGTGATAAAGTATATAAAGATGGGACATATGACTTAATTTCTCTCCCCCGAGTGTCTTTATCTCTAAAATAAGTTTAGCATTATTATGGGAATTAAATAAATCATGTGAAGTACACAAAAAGAGTTCTAGCACACAGTAAGTGTACAGTAAGTGTCAGCTCTTATTATAGCTTTACAATAGAGTGGTTATACTCACTCTTTTGTTGAGACAAATAACGGGCCACAGGCTGCAACCCAGTGTGCAACAACAGCAGAGACATCCACACAGGAGCCATTTCACATTGACTGGGAGAGCCTTTTTCAAACATGCATTCACACGGCCAATGCTGGTCTTAAATTCTTCTGGAGCCACCTACAACAAGGGTACTATCTTTTAACAGTTTGTGGGCAGTCTCCCACTATTTACCTTTAACCCTGAAGAAAATGTCTTAAGGAATTACAAATGTCTCAATATATTTCTTTCCTATCCCCCATAAATATATTATACATTCTTTGACGACATTAGAAAGTAAAACAATATAATTTCATATTCACAGAACATAGCTTAATATTCACAAAGTCTTCTGAAATGACCAACAATAAAATGTCAGCAATAAAACTGATGGTATGGATATCCACCAAACAGTTTCTTTACTAAATATTGTCATTAAGTCAATATTGCTCTTAGACTTCAGGCACTCTGACTTCAAGTAGAATAAGGTTAGACTCATAAGTCAAGAATAAAGATCCAAGTACTACCAGAGGAAATGGAATTAAAATTAGATTTTGGAAATACTCCTAGATTACTTTTTAAAAGGCAATTCTTAAACTTTTTCTCCCTGGAAAAATTGCAATAAAACAATTTAAGGTTTGTCATTGTTTGCAGGTAAATATACTTACAAAAGACAATGCTTGGTAATTATATTCAAAGCTATCTTAATATTCAGCACAAATTGGAATCATAACTGCTGTAAGTTCTGAAAGTTGAAAGGTCATTAAATAAACAAATTTAATATTTTTAGTTACTATCTCTGTTCCTGAAAGTGGCTGTTTGTGTCCCTCTATAAACAATGACAAAGTCAAGTTCAAAGGCCTGAGCATGACCTGCATAATTACATTTATACAAAAATTCAGCCTGAATGTTATATTAAAAGGAGTACTAAAATAGTTTGTTTTCAGTGAAATAACATTCCTAGATTAAAAAATGATTCCCCTTTATTTAGAAATCTTCACACTATAAAATTTATGGGAAAATTTTCAGTATTTGGCTGTAAAAGCAGTAAGTATGTTATTGTTAGGAAAAGTAAGCTGTTGTAAAATAAAAGCCCCATTAATCTGTTAAGTATCACAAATATAGCACTTTACTCTTAAAAAATTGTACTAGTGGAATCAATTTATTACATTAACACTACAAAACATACCTATTAGCAGATACTATTACACAACAGAATTTAGCACTATCATGATTAAAATATTAACTATATATAAGTATTATTAGAATTGTCTGTGTCACTAAATAAGGTTAATTGCTTAGCCCATGAATGTAATTTTTGTCCTAACAATCAACAATTGTGAAATTGTGAGGCTCAAAAACTTTGTTTACATAAGACAAACTAATTTTATTTCTCCATGTACATTGTACAATGACTGTCAGTCTGCACAAAGAATTCCAGCTAAGTGACAAAATATCCGGGGTAAATATGAAAATAAGTTCAGAGAATCATGCCTCATAACTGAAAATAGAAGATACTAACAAGCTAGACTCTTACATAATAAATCTAGCGATCTGGATTCTAGTTCTTACTAACTGAAAAATCCCAGGAAAAATGATTGAGTTTTTCTAAGTTTCAGTTTCCTATAAAATGGAATAATAATCTTTGTTTTATATACTCACTGGGAATGGAAATTATACCTTAGAAAGAACATCCTGATTGGAATACTTTGGAAAGGGAAGTTTGTAAATCATGTCTCAGAGTAGATTTGGAGAAAGACAAGAAATGCTCTCTTTTGCGTGGATTCTCATCCGAAGGCAAGGGGTAATTATTAATATACAATTCTTGCTATATATTATATTATAAACAAAAAAAACCAAAAAAAGATAATCTGCTACATTTGGAATGTAGATTAAATGCTCTTCAGTTTTTCAATTCTTTTGAGATCCTATCCTCCCCTCCTCTTCCCAGCCTTCCCCTTTCCTCCTCTCTTCCTTCACTCCCCTCTCTTCTCTTCTCTGTGCTGGGGACTGAACCCAGGGCCTTGCCTATGTTAAACAAATGTCCTGCCACTGAGATACAGCCCAAACCTGTAGAAGTTCTTCTAAAAAACAAGGTGTCAAGTTATAATCTAAAGATTTACCTCTCCAGGTGGGCACTGGTGGCTCAGGCTTGTAATTCTAGCTACTCGGAGGCAGAGATTAGGAGAATTGTAGTTCCAGGCCAGCCCCAGCCAAAAAGAAAAAAAGGTTTGGGAGCCCAACAGATCAGGCTGAGAGTGGTGACCTGTGCCTATCATCCCAGCTACAGCAGGAAGTGTAAATAGGAGGATCGTGATCCCAGGCATAAATGTGAGACTCTCTCTCAAAAATAGTAAGAGCAAAAAGGGCTGCAGGTGTGGCTCAAGTGGTAGAGCCCCTGCCTAGCAAGTGCAAAAGCCTGAGTTCAAACTCAAGTACTGCCAAAAAAAAAAGATTTTCCTCTCCAAAACAGCAATATTCAACTTCTTTTTTCCTAGGGAATCACTGAGTAACAAAATAGAATTTAAAATAAAGAAAAATATGTTTAGCTTTAATCTGTAACACAACATTACTATCAAATTTCTTTAAGTTGTGCATCCAGAATCAATAACACATTTCAAAATATGGCAAATTATGAGATAAACTCATGTGAGTCCTAAAATTATTAACTCTGCCCATTAACAAGTTTAAGAGCTTGTAATCAGAAAATTTTATTTAAAAGTGAGTACATAAGCAGAGATGAGAAATTAAAAGTGAAGGGTGAGGCTAAATGTGCAAATGAGTCAGTGTAAAAGAAAAATATGTTTATAAGGAGGCTTACAATTAAAATTTTGCTTCTGCTTCTATTAGGGATGAATGGGTGGCCGAGAGACTAAAGCTAGAGAATGAATGGAAAGAGGCTTTTGATTTAAAACACTGTGAATGCTTTATTCCAAGGTATATAAAAGTAGTTATAAAACTTGTCTTCCTGGAAGTAAAAATAATAACATTCTTTAAATTTGGCACTTTTCCTTCTTTCCCACCAACACCTTCCACTTTTAACAAATAATCTCATTTTATAGTCTCTTACCATCAACAAACTAAAAACTAAAATATTCAAGTTACTAAAAATGAGAATTCAAATGCTTGATCATAAGACAAAGATACTGAAAAGAAAGTTTTAGTGGAATTTCAAACAACAAAGTAAAATCTACATTTTGACTTTAAAAAGAGGCCAGGATTGTCTTTGAAAAAAAACCCAACCCTGTATTTGAATAACAGTGAAAGTCATAAAACAGAGATAAAGGCATAGGAAATGAGAACTAGTTAACTCTCAATTTTAAACAATGTCAAAGAAATGTTTAGTTAACTGTGTAGAAACAGAGTTAATAACATTTTACTCATTCACTTCCATATAATTGAGTATCTCTAGTAATGAAGGCTAGGTGGAAGCCCCTTACTTTCTAGCTGAACCGTTGGTTGTAAAGAAACATTTCATTCCTTTTGACTCTCTTGGAAAGAAAAAAGAAAACCACATCATAAAGGTGGGGGAAAGGGTCATAATATTTTATAACAGGATGCAGGAGGCTCTGCAAACAGAAGAAAATCTAAGCAAACCCCAGCAGGACTGATTTGCCTCCTTCAGTTGTGGGGAACACAACCCTATCAATCACTTGTCATATTGGATCACAATAGGAAAGGTCAATTTTTATGACTTGTGACTCCCAACACTGAACACTAATCTCCTCATAACACCATTTAATTATTTCAAGCTGAGGGCTGGAAGCTTTAATTTCTTTTCTAAAGTTCTGTGGTTGTCTAATTTTCTGGTCACCAGAATCTGTGAGCATATACCTGCTTGGTATGTCCTATCATGATAGGAGGACTTATCTTTAGTGAAACAGGGAAAGCAGTCTTTTCTGCACTTTATAAAAGATTACCTTAGTTTTTGCATTGTAAGCATTAACATAAAAGAAGCAAAAAACAATACTGAGCCACAAGTCTTGTCAAAAGGACCTTTTAGGTTTTGGGAATTCATGCAATTTTGCTTACCTTAGGGAGGCTAAAAGCTAGTAGAATCTAATTCATGCTGGAAGACTGATTTTACAAAGGGAAGTTTTTTTTCTATTTTAGATGCTGCACTTACTCATTTCTAAATAGTTTAACACAGGAATATTAAGTCTGGGATTCAGACCTTTTTTATTTTAATTTTTTCACACTCTTAAGGTATTTTCTCCCCAGTTACTAGAGAAGCTTTTTGATAATTCAAATTAACTACACAAATGAAACAGTACCTACTTAAGAAAGATTTTCTTATTAAAGAAAAAAATGAATGAAACTAATGTTATAACCAGCTAACTTTAAAAAATCAGACCTTCAGGGGCTAGAGATGCGGCTCAGTTGTAGAGTGCATGCTTATCATGCTTAAGACCCTGGGTTTGATCCCCAGTACCAAAATAAGTAAATATCAGACTTTTAGCATTTTCTTAGTGTTTTTCTCATTACCAAATATACACCAAGAAAAACATCAGTGTCATTTATTCATTATCCAATACATGATAAAATTTGTATAATAAGTAATACACACTTGAATAAATATCATACATCATTATATGTGCTATAAAGATGGTCACCTGAAAAGAATGGATGTCTTTAAGAACAGCTCCTATGTAGATCATTTAGGTTGTGTGAATGCACACCAAAAGCAGCTTACCACTCTTACTCCTCCAGTTTTAAAAATTTTACTATCTTTTGGGTCAGTGAAATTTTTAGTTCTAGAAAGCTTGGAAAGAAATGAGGATGTGTGAAAAGATATTCCAAACATTACCTGAGCACATAAAACAGACCAACTTAAAAAATGGATTATGTCGGGAACTATATTCACTGATATTTTTAAAGTTATTCTAGAATTTCTTGGACCTATAATTCAAAATTTTAAAAACCCAAGCCAATTCTAAAGCTCAATGTAACTTTCCAGACAACACACGGTAGTAGCATCAAAGGAAATATAAAGAATATACGTTCTATTAGCGATATTACATTCTCTTTAATCTTAGTATTAAAGTTACCATCTTTTTTTAACTAATGTTATTATTCAAGAGATATTTCCATCACTATTTTATGCATTTTGAGAAAATATTTTTGACTAATTTATATAAAATGAATCTAATTCTAAGCTACTGCTTCAACTGATGAAGTATTTAGAATACTTCAGGATAGGAAGGTACAATATACTAGAAACTGAGGCCAAAGTTTCACACCAAAGGGTTTTTTTTTTGTATGCTAAAAAATTAAATGGCCACATATTTTCAAATGCTAACTTTGTTTAATTTTCTATGGAAAAAATTGACATTATACCTCAGAAGACAGAGAAAGGGTCACCAGTGAACAGAACAAATTAGCAGTGGGACCAGAGAATAAATCATTACTCAGATAAAGAAAAAGAAGTAAAACAATTAAAAACAGAGAGCTAGTGAGTAAACTGGAAAAGCAATCAAGTTGAAACTGGGAGACACTGAGAAGAATAACATGGGGAAGTTAACAAGTATCTGAGAATGCACTAGGACTGCATATATACTCTCTCATGTGATCTTAAAACAAGAAGTGAGCATCACCTCTATTTTTCACGTAAGAACCAAGGCTCAAAAGTGACCACATAGCCAGTAAGTGACAGAACTTGGATTGTAATCCAGATTTGACTACAAATCTTATTTAACTACTCTATTCTGTGTCAAACTGGCTCCCATTTTTCAAGGGGAAAATGAGGCAAACAAAGTATAAATTACCTTTCAGAGTTAAATTAAATAGAATTTCTTATGATCTCAGAGATACTTCTTGAAAAAAGAAGTAAGTCTGCTAATTATTATTATTTTTTTCTTTTTCCTCAACCCCTCAAGTGGCTGGTGGGAAGACTGGAGTTAGGCCAAAAGTAAGGGCAGTAAATGGCAGGAAAATACATCATTGATAAAAAAGAGGTGATATGAGTAGAAATATGTTATCCCATTCTCAAAGACTTTCCAATGAGAGAGAACAAATTAAAAGGAAATTAAGGTTCAAAAGGTAATTCAGTCACATAGTTCAAAATTAAAAGAAGACTAAAAAATATCCAGAAACAGCCTCATCCATCTCATTCTCCTTTTCTATTAAAGGCAATAATTATATATATACATATATATATATATATATATATATATATATTTGTAGAATTGTTTTAGGCAAAATATAATTATCAATGTGCTTATCTCTACCATTTCTTATAAATACTATTTCCAATGATTTGTATCTTGATTTTCTAGTGATATGCAAAAAATTAACACCAAAATAGTATAAAAGCCCTTTAGGGAATGGAATTTTTTTTGAGACAGTGTCTCATACTCACTATGTATCCGAGGCTGGCCTAGAACTCATGCTTCTCCTATTTCAGTTGGGATTACAGACCTGCTCCACCATGAGAGGCTCAACATAATGTTTTGATATTGATATACACGGTGAAATGATTACCATTGTCAAGTACATTAACATATGAGTATCCTTACATAGTTACCTTTTCTTTTGTGTTAACAGAACCTGAAATCTACTCACTTAGAGCAAATTTCTAGCATATAAGACAGTGGTATTATGTATAATCATTACTGTCTCTAGAGTTACAGTTCTGAATCCTGGGAAGTATGAATTTTGAGCCTCAATGTTGAATAACAGAATACACTACTGAATGTAGAAGAACCAGGAAATAGAAAGGTAGTGATTTATTGCTGTAAGTCCAATTTAGAAACTCAAAATTATTTAAAAGACAGAAAATGTCTAACCAAAATTTGATGCTGTTCCTGTAAAACAAACTATACTATGTTATTTAAAAGTAATAGAATGATACAGTTAAAATCACTTTGGTAACAAAACACTGAAAAATACTGACTTAAATGAAAACAATTATAGATACTGGGGAAAAAGGCAAAACTGGAAAAGCTGGACAGATAAATAAATAATGGCCAGCATTAATGAACAATAGACATAATAACTGGTCAGAGGTTGGTAGTCATGGAGACAAACACACCTTTCAAGTATGGAGGTCACCTGTTATTTGACTTTATTACCACTGAGTCAAAGCATTTGTCATAACACTGAGTAAGTCATAAAATAGTGCATTAGAATTGGAAAGTTCAAAGCAAACTCTCACTTACCTTCCCTGTTAGAACTGAGGGAAATTCAGTATCAAACTTGTTGCTCAAGCCAAACCTTAAAAACAAAGAGAACAAAATGTTTTCTATCCAGTATATTTGACCATTTTCTTTTCTTAAAAACACATTACAAACCCATGCACTTTTCTTTTTACCTTTTGATTTAAAAATATGTCCTGAATATGTATGTTTTTTATGTTTTATGTACAGTTAAAAACAAAACTTAATTTAAAAAACAGATACAGAAATCCTAAAAATAACATTAAATTGAAAATACATATCCAGAATAAAATTTTATATGATATAGTAAAAGAAGCTTAACAAGAGCAAATGTTAAAGTGGGATTCTTACTGCACCCATGATACAGGATTAAAAACCAGTAAATTTAAGAAACAAATTTTATAATAGAGCTGGAAATGATGTAACTTTTGACTACAATGTTTCTTTGTTAAAACCTACTTTAGTTGATAACCACTGGAGCTGGATTATGTGTGGTAGTATGTGAGAATGCATTATACTATTCTTTCTACGTTTGTGCATGTATGAGAATATTCCTAATAAAAAGTACCCCCTCCCCCATGATGTAACCTGTGGAACTATAGTTTGATAACTTCATGACCAGTTACTCTTCAGATATTCAAGGGTTCATCTTTATGAATGGCTTTCATGTGCTCAACCAATGTTGAGAAGAGATCCCAGTCTCTAAGACTTTTTCTTCCAGTATGCTCACTAAAATCTGTAATAAGAAGTCAAAAAGAATTTTATGTTTTTGGTGGGACTAGAGTTTGAACTCAGGGCTTCATGCTTGCAAAGCAGGTGTTCTACTGCTTGAGCCATGCCTCTGGTCTCAAAATGAATTTTATGAGCCTTTGCTCACCTACTTTTTGACTTCAGCAGGGACAACAGTCACTTTCTGAATGCTGGATAATATCATATCTTTTTTACTCATTTATTCACATGTGCATACACTGTTTGGGTCATTTCTCCCTCCTGCCACCCCCCGCCCCGCCTCCACCCCCTCTCTCCCTCTCCCCTCACTTCCAGGCAGAATCTGTTCTGCTCCGTTGAAGAGTAGAAATAAGCAATAAGAAAGAAAAAGCGGTTTTGCTAGTTGAGATAAGGATAACTATACAGAGAGATTCCTAGCATTGCTTTCACGTACAAATGTGTTATAACCCAGGTTGATTCATCTCTAACTGATCTTTACACTGGTTCCTGTTCCCTTCTCGTGTTGACCTCTGTCGCTTTAAAGTTTCTGTATTAATTCTTCTAGAGTGGGGACATCAAATGCTTTCATGTTTTCGGTTTTCTATCTAACCCCATACCTTCCGTATATGTTCTCCCCTTGTCATGTGACCCAAGTCCTACAACACTGCTGTATTTGCCCTAGATCCAAAGACCGCATATGAGGGAGAACATACGATTTTTGGTCTTCTGAGTCTGGCTAACCTCGCTCACAGTGATAGTGGGAGACCTTAATACCCCTCAATAGATATCGTATCTTAGTGACTACAATTTTATGTTAGTGGATGATAGACAGGTTATAAACAAAAAGGAAAAAACATTTACTGAGAACTCCATGCGAGGAAGGCAATAACAATAACAGCTACCAATAACTATGTACTTACCAAGCTAGACACTGTGCTAAGTAATGTAGTTACTTAGTACTACATTACTTCGAAACTTTAAAGGCCTTCGAGAGAAGTATTGTCATCCCCATTTTTCGGACAAGGAGGCTGACATTTAGAAAAAAAATTTAAAAAGAAATTAATTAAATGACTGGACCAAAGTCATGTATCCACCTAGTTAAGAAGTGGGAGGAACTAAAATTCAAATGCTGACCCCTAAGTCCTTTCTGTCCTGTATTAAACTTCTTGAGAAATTGCAGACTATTTATTTTGCTGTTTTCCATTATACCTAAGAGCATAATGAAATCTAGTAAGTGTTTAATAAAAGTTTGCTAAATAATAAGCTACTGTACAGTTTGATACATCTGATTTAGGACACTATGGGCTTTGGGTCACTTTACAGAAATGTTAAGAATCCAATTATTAAAACTCTAGTATAGGGCTCAAAGACTCTGCATTCAGCAACTAGCTTTAGTTTATCTGCTTCTCTTTCTAAAGGAACTCTAACAATTCATCTGTATTTAGTAGCTTTGACAATACGTCTTACTCTGATGACCATTAGATCCATTATCTCTAATAAGACTAGAGCATGTTTGAAAATATGTATATGTCTAACTGCATACTGAAAGCTTCCATTTATGTATCTTGCCACAAAATAATACAATTTCAAATGAAATGTCTAAAATTATCATTATCCTTTCTTGTAACCAGTTCTTCCCTTAAAACTCTTCATCTCTGGCAATGTACATTACTTTCTTCTTTAACCTAGACCTTAATATAATCTTTGTACCTTTCTCTCCTATTTTTTGCACCTTGCTTAAAACCAGATGGTCCCTCAGTCTTACCATTTGCTCCTTTGAAATCATCCTCATAGTGATTCTTTCACTTCATTGCCATTTTGGCTCTTTTTTTGCTTCCATGGTTCACGTGCTTCCTCTCCCTAATTTAAATTCTAAATAGCCTTCAAGGTTCAAGCCAAGTTCCAACTCCCATGGTAATAACCTTGAATGTTCAAGCCTTTATGGCTTCTCTTTTCTCTGAACACTTTCACAGCCACTTCTAATCTGTACTATACAATTAAATATTGATATATTATTATGCTAGATATTATATACTATTAACTATATTAATATAAAATATTGTCTTTTATTCTCTGCTGCTCCAAATCAGTATCTTAAAGGCAATTTTCCTGTTAGCAAGTTTTATACTTTGTTTTTTCTATAGTCTTCACAGTACTTGGTTCTAGTACTCAAGTTCTCAAGAAATAATTTTCTGTATTAACATTATTTATTTTTAATATAAAATTTTCTTCTAAAACATCAAAAATATATTAGAAGTGGTAGAAAAGTACCGTTTTACTCCTTAAAATATTCCTCTATCACCTACGCATAGACCTCAGTATCTGTGGTACATGGGTTCCAGGCTCTAACTTGTGTATCAAAATCCTTGGATGTTCAAGTCTCTTATATGAAAATGGCATAGTATTTGTATATAACCTATATACTCCTGTACCTTTTAAATAATCTCTAGATTACCTGTAATAACTAATACAACACAAATGCTATATAAATAGTTGTTACGCTGTATTGTCTAGGGAATAATGATGAAGGAAAAAGCCTTTATGTGTTCAGTATAGGCCTACAGTTTGGTTGAATCTGTGGATGCAGAACCTACTGATACAGAAGGCTAAATGTATATTCACCTCAACAAGTATGAAGAAGTCAGGCATGGTGGTGCATACCAATAATTCCAGTACTCAGGAAACTGAGGCAGGAGGATCATGAGTTTGAGGCCAGCCTACACTAGATAGGGAGATCCTATCTCAAAATCAAACTTCAAAAAAGGATGAAGAAAAGCAAACCAGGTCCAATATTCTCCATAATTTTGGCTAATAGGCAGTAGCTATCCTGTTCTTGCCTACCAGGGATTTCTTTCTTGGTTTTTTTCTGGAGGTACTGGGGCCTCATGCTTGCTAGGCAGGCACTCTACCACTTGAATCACTCCATCAGCCCTTGGGATTTCTTTGTTAAACTTTCTTCTTAAAAGAATAAGCACATAAAAGGAATACTTATCTCAAATAACCTTAGGCCCAAGAGTTTCACTTAGTAGCTACAAGGATAAAGTTGAAATGGTTGCTGCTAAATAAACACCTTAGCTCTGTTTCATAAACAAACCATTGAGTTAAGAACTATGAATCCACAGAAGTTGACAAGCTCTTCTACTCACTACTCATAAGCAACAGACATTAGCCAAGCCATGGGGCTCTTCAGCATTAGACAAACAGGCACTTGGGAACTGCTCACACTGTTATTTCATTGACTTAATTAAATATAGAATCTATTATGTGTTTGAAGTTGACCGACTGGTGGTTTACAATTATTGCATTTTCTTTGTTAAGTGTCTTCAATGCCCCAAATTTTAATTTCTTGGAACAATTCTTTAGCACAGAGGTAATTGTGGCAAAGAAGAATGGGTTATTTTAGTTGCTCTTCCCTACATCCCCACACCTCTCACTTTTTGAAATTGTGTATCAGCTTTTTGAAATCTTGCACAAATTAAAGCTCATGCTCATGTTATTTAAGCAAACAGTATAATGAAATCCTGCCTACAAGAAACACAATTTTGTTAGAAAACTATGCACTCAGTAGTAATAGTGATTCTGAAACACATGCACTGAACTCTATTTATTATGCCAAGGAAAAGGAAAGTCTGTGCCATATAATACAAAGACTTTTTAAAAAAAGACGCTGGTTAGAGCTCTTTAATCTTTCTTATGGAAATAATCGTCTTACCACACTGTACAATGGCAAGTCACCATAAGTAACTTCAGTATTCTGAAAGCCTGAAACCTTATATTCACCTTATATAAACATCAATTAACTATGTAACATTGTAATTTCTCAAAGACAGCTGTGAGAAAAGGCATGCCATTCTCTGATTTGAGAATGAATGCAAAGTTGCTGCAGAAATGTACTGCTAGGCAAATTTAGTCATCTTTTTAAATTCTACATGTAATAACTTAAGCTTTTTTAGATTAATTTTAATGAGACAATTTTATGAGTCCCTGAGAATTGGTAATCTATCATCTCTACTAACTGCTATACAGATGTACTATCAAGGGTAAATATCCATACATTTGAAGTAATATAAAGTACGGAAATGTCAATAAATAAGGAAAAAAAATCTCATGAGTTGCAATTTTTTCTGTATTTCAGTAAAATGAACCCAAATATTTATATTAAAAATATCAGGAAGAAAATGATAAAATAAAAAAAATCAGGAAGAAAAACTGATACACACACTGATATACCACTCAGATATGTAGTATTTCTAAAACATTTAGTATTTCAAATAGACAGCTCATTACTTTTGTTTCTAAAATCTCAAACCTGTGGGAGTTAGCTATATTTTTAAAATTTTGAAAAGGAGC